GCCCCCCTGCGCCCCCGCCCTCCCGTCCCTACCGGGAACTGACCCCGCCGGTGCTGAGACCCCCCCGAGGAGAGCTCCTACGATGGCCCCCTGACGCCCAACGCTGCAGCCTCCCCTCCTACACCCCATATCGCCCGGTCGGATGCCGCCGTGGACCCCGACGCGATGCCAGCCCTCCAAAAAGGAGCCCTCGCTCCCCGAAACCGTGATGGGTGCTGCCCGGTGCGGGACCCACCGTGCGTCCCCTCTCCCCACAGCGATGGGCCCTACCTCTACGTCAGTCACTGTCCACCCTTCCAACCCTTCCACACAAGCCACATCCCACCAATGGGCCTCGCAGACCCCGCTACCGTGACCCGGGGTGATGAGGGACCTCCCTGCCAGCTCCCCTCTGTCCCCACACCGCTCCTCGATGCCCTTCACGCCCTACTCCTGCCGCCCCAGGGAAGGCCATGGAGTGCGCTGGCCGTGATCCCTCCAACCCTTCCTCTCTCTTTCCCGCAGGCTGCACCATGGACCTGGTCCTGGACGCCGCCGACCGGCACCTCCTCACGCCCTATGTCTACCCCGCGGGCTGGCCCGAGGGCGAGCCCTGCCGCCAGCTCCTCAGCCTCTTCGTCATCACTAACCTCGGGGCGCTGGCCCTCTACCTGCTCTTCGGCACCCTCAGCTACTACTTCATCTTCGACCACCGACTCAAACAACACCCCCAGTTCCTAGAGGTGGGTGTCCCCTGCCCCCCGCCACGTGCTGACCAAGTCCCCCTCGCCGTCCTCCAGTGGGAGGCTGCTCCGAATGACGCGTGGCCGCACCACCACAGAACGGCCCTGCGGACTCTCTGCTCTCCCTCACTTCTCGAGGGATAATTTCCTCCTTCGCGTGCGATCCCACCCTGGCCCCTGCCCCCGAACACCCACTTCGCCCCCACACTGAGCCCCTGGAAACCACCTGAGGACGCCCGCCCCCAAAACACAGGGCTGCCATAGGGGTCTGGAGAGAACGCCGGGCTGCCCGGTCCTGACCGTGCCAGGCCGTGACGATACTCCCATCACGTCCCGCTCTCCTCCCTCTGCACCCGCTAATTCTCTCCTTCCAGAAACGGCGATGGCCCTGGGGACCCCAGCCTCAGGGACCCCGATGCTACAGCCTCCGTACCCACACCCGTGCTGCTGCTGCCTTGCCCCCCACTTCCCTGACGTGCGTCGCGCTGGGGGCGATGGGAGACCGACCTCCCTCCGTGTGGCCATCGCCCCTCGCCCGTGTCACGCCCTGGGTACGACTGCCACCATGTGCACCTGTGCCAGTGCCATTCTTGGCACACAAATTTTGTCCTACGGCATCGGCCCGACCCCATACCGCACCTGGCCCCTGCATCCTCCCGTAGCTGCCCGTGCTGGGCTCTCTGCTCTCTCGGGCTGGATACCTGTCCCACCTGTACAGTGTGCTGCCCCTGGCCCTGTCCCTACCATCGCTCTCCCCAGAGTGGTGACGTGCTGGGCACTGAGCCCTGGCACCCGCCTTGTGACACTGAGCCTGAGAGACAGGCCACTGGGCCAAAGACCCATCTGGCCTCCCCGCATCCTGCTGGGCCTGGGGAGGGCCTACGGGCCTCTCCCTTCTCTACCTGGCTCCCGATACGCCCCCTCCCCCTGACCCCTCTCAAAGTGTCGCCGAGCCACAGCTTTCTTACACTTGGACAGGCCCTGTAAAGGTCCTCTCCTCCGACCCCCCTGCCCTGAGGCGGGGACCTGTTCAGCTACAACGAGTCCTGCAGAGCCCTCTCCAACCCGTCTGCAAACGTCCCTGGGCCCCTGGCACCCTGTTCCTCTGCTTCCCCTCACTGCTCAAAAAAATTTTCTCCTCTCATTCTACCCACTTCTACCTTATGACCCTTATCCTTGCTGCCCTCGCTGCACACCCCTCTAAGAAACCCATCCCCATCATTCCTACAAACCCCATGGAGGTACTGAAAGGCCGCTCCAAAGACTCCCCAGAGCTTTCTCTTCTCTGGGCTCCGTGCCCCCTATGCTCTCGGCCTGACCTCCTGGCAGAGGGGCTACGGCTCTCCTGGATCTTGTCCGACGGATCCCTCTCTTTCTGCTGATGGCCTCTCAGTGGAAAGTGGCACGGTGGGGGGGTCTCCTGAGAGCAGCTCAGTACTGGGGGTCTCCCTGGAACACGACAGAGGGATGGGATCCCCTCCCTGGCCACGATACTAGGATGTGGCTGGAGAGACAGTGGGCCTCCTGGGCTGCACATACACGTGGGTCCGGCTCTGCGTCCACCTGTACCCCCGTATCCTTCTGGCCGAGACTGCTCTCCCTCCTTCCCCTGGCCTGCGTTGATGCGGGGGGGGGGGGGGGTCCCCGCCGGGGCCCTCTATGCCC